GCTAGAGGGATGTCTCAAAATAGTGCATTATTTCAAAATTTGGCGCTGTGTAGACACGCCAAATTGCAAAATAAGCTATTTCACAAAGTAATCAAAATAACATTCAATTTGTGTAGCATATCTTATTTTGAGTTTAGGATCCTGTGCTGTGTAGATGCACCCTAAAACTCCCTCTTGAAGGAATTTAGGTTGTTTCATAGTATTGCCATCTCCCTAATGAATTTAGTGTATGCTAACTGATGTCTCTCTGATTGAATATGTGTAGTAATGTCAGATTTCTCACCGTGAGCAATATTTACCTCATGACTCATGACTACTTTAGGTGCAAAATGTTACGTATGGATTGTCACGCTTCTTTAAAAAAAAAAAGATATTCTTTTTGCAAAGCCTTGTTAAATCACTCTTTTCTTGCCCTTTTCACTCATTTTGACACTAAAATAAAATTTTACAACTAGTGAGCTGTGCCCCCCCACCCTTCTTGCCACTGCACTCACCAACAGCCCTCCAAAAAACCCCAACCCTCTCTCATGTGGCCCCCAGCTGAAACACCTCACTCCCTGGTGCTCCAGCCCTATGGTGTGGGGAGGGGCAAAGAGAACTGACATTCAAGGCCTCAGGCCAGATTTACTCTTCTGGAGTCCAGAGTTAGTGGATTTTGTGCCCTACCCAGAGGCTCCGGGGTAGGGTCAAAAATGAGGATTAAGTGTGCAGGACAGGGCTGCCAGTGAGTGGGTAGGAATAGGGGTGCAGGAGGGAGAATGCAAGAGGGGATGAGGGTGGCAGACTCTGGGCAGGAGGGGCAGGAATTGGATGGGGGTAGGGTGTCTGGCCAGAAAGGAGGGTGCAGGAGCAAGGTAGGGTGGAGGAGCAGGTTGGGGGTGGATAGGGTGTCTAGCCAGGGGGCAGATGCAGGAGCAAAGGAAGAGGCAGGAGCAGGCTGGGAGTGCGAGGTCTGGGCTTGGGTGAGCAGGCTGAGTGAGCAGGCTGGGAGTACGGGGTAAGGATGTTAATAAGCGGGTAACCGACTATCTGTGTACTGGATACAATTTGAATCGAGTACATGATTAGTCGACAAGGGGCCCAGCTGCAGCTCTGCAGCTTAAATGTAGTAGAAGCTGGGAACGGAGGCAGCCTGGCTCCTACTAGACCTAAACTGCAGCCTCAGCAGGGGTAGATCCAGGTCCAGCGCGAGCCAGGACTCAGCAGTCCCAGTCACACCAGGCCCCAGACCACTGCACCTCTACCTTTTAAATATAGTAAGAGCCGCCTGGTTCTTACTACATTTAAAAGGCAGAGGTGCACCAGGAGACCTGGTTCGAGCCGGGACTCAGCAGTCCCAGCTTGTACCAGGTTCTAGACCACTGCACCTCTTACATCCTTAGTGTGGGGTCTTGGTGGAGGTGGTGAGTGAGTGGGCTGCAGGTGTGAGGTCAGGGCATAAGGGAAGGAAGGCCACTTGCTTGTGCGTGGCTCCCAACACTGTGCCCCAGGCATTGCTTCCCACTGCTCCTATTGGCTGGATTCCAGAGCAGTGGGAAAAGCCTTCAGGAAGTGTCCTTGCGGTCCTATTCCTCCAGATGGGGGAGAGAAAAGGGGAACAGAATCATGCAGTGGCTTCTAGCTGCGCTTCTTCCCTGCAAACTGGATCCTCAGGGGAGCCTTTCGGTCCCCCCCGCTCTGCTGAAATATTGGAATTTCCAGGACACGTTAGTGCTTTATGGGGACAACGGAACGGAAGACTTACAATTGGGACTGTCCCGGAAAGTGTGGGATCTATGGTCAGAATAAATATAGCTCATCTACCAAAGTTATTACCCTTTAGCTCAAATGAATTTGGACAACCATATAGAAGGATAGATTATTCCTGGATTCGCGGTAAACAGGTGAGCACAGGAGATTGCCTGTTACTCAATTACAAGAGTACTCTGTTTTCAGGGAGACTTCAGAATGCATTGGGATGGTCTGGTGAGTACATGCAAAAGTAGCAGCAGTAGTGTAGCAGTTATTGGTACACTCTGAGTTCTTGGTGATGCTGGCTATCTCCACTAAATTCTCAATACCAGACCCTTCCATACAAAAGCTTTTTTGTAAAAAAAAAGTCAGAGCGAAAGAAGTTGTACTTCTGCTTTAGAAGAAGTATAAATATCATTTGCACTCCTCTAACACTACTGGACTCTCAAATAAAAAGACAAACAGCATGTCAGGCTTTTCACTCTCAAGCTTACCAAGAAAATTTTTCAGAATTCAAAGAGTTTGATGTATTAAAGTTGCCAACCCATATGAGCAAACAAAAAATGTGAATGTGGAAAAGCAGTACAAATATTGGAGGAGTTTTGAAGAACCACAAGTGTTCTAGATTTAGATGGATTCCCAGTAGAGTTCCAGAAATTAATACCTATTCTTGAAGAAATGCATATTCCGTCAGCTTTTAATAGTAAATAACTTGCTTTCTTATTCTGAAGCTAGAACATCAAATGACTACACAAACCATGGGTCAATCCCCTTTCTTAAAGACAGGCTGTGGAAATGTTAACTACTCAGAACAAAGGGATTTGAAATAATTTTCAACACAACTCATCTGCCAATAGGATTTGTGGTTAAGTTATTCTGCAATAATGCCATGTAATTGTGCATGTCATTAAAGATAAAGAACCTACGCCTGTTGATCAGAGTTTGCCAGAGAGAAAGAGAATCCAATCCCCACGTGCCAGTGATAATGCATTTTGCTACTTATTTGCTGTACAGATTGAATTACCACCAAAGGATTAAAATATAGAACATTTGGGTCCTAAAGGGGTCGGTCATATGGCCACAATGCTCTCTGTAGCACAGTGCTGTAGACTTTGATGTACCCCAGGAACCAGTCTGCTAGCTGCCTGCCAGAGTATTCAAATAATGAGGTAAGAGGTGGAGATAAGAACTACAAAAGATAACTCATATCACTGACATGAGACTAAACCAGCCCCTATATTTTTTGCAAACTCTAACACTATCAATTTCAGATCTTTAGTCACAAGATTTCCCCACAGTTTTTCCAAAGAAAAAGGAGGCTTCAAAGCACTCTGAGGATTGTAATGTCAATTGGGTTCCTAAGGAACTGAATAATTGTAAATGATCAAATAGAAATAAACAACAACTAGCCCACAATCAATTTCAGCCTGGAGTTGGTGAGAATTAAAACACCGTTTGTGCCTGGTATCTTAGACCAGATTAATGAGCCCTGATAAAAGTTATATTAATGAAATTAAGATTAATTATAATTATATTATATTCTATAAAAGGATAAAATACTTCAGAATTGTTGCAATTATCCCCAAAATAAACATTAAAAAGATTGAAAATTCAGAGTTAAGATTAACTTTCAGAGAAGGTCACAAAATAATCAATTATAATTAATGCATAACAGTAACTGTGATAGATTAGAGTTTCAGAGAAGGTCACAAAATAATCAATTACAATTAATGCATAACAGTAACTGTGATATCAGATTAGATTAATATGATTTTTAAATAATTTATATATTGGTCATTTTTTCCCTTTGTGGTGCTATTCTCTATACGCAGCATTGTAAGTTACTGTGGAAGATTTGGATGTAAGAAGAAACTGGGAAAATCGTGAGATTCTCCGGTGATACTGCTGATCTCCCTTCGGTGTTCTACAGAAAACAGTCCTGTATGGGTCTTGTTTACCCTATTGTATAACTGACTAGCTCTTGACTTTATATAATCAATGTACAAATCATTTTTGGAGAGAAAATGTTGATAGACCCAAGCATATCCAAACCTGCTATCAGTCAATTTTTTTTAAATCAGTAGAAATTGTACATTTAAAAGCAGTCTATAAACCTCCCGATGGATAAAACTGTGGCAGATATTTTCTGGAAGTTACCTCGTCTAAACTGTGAATGTGAAACACTTCCCACTATCGCTCCCATTTTTATCCATTCCTAACTAAGTGCAAGATTCTACTTTGGGCAAAGGCCAAGCATGGAAAATTGCAGCCTCAAATGGTTAAATCTGGTTTGTAACGCTTGAACAGTCTGCAGCCATTTTTATTTCAGCAAGGGTAAAAAAAATCTCATTTCAAAACAACTTAGCAATGTATTATTTATATATATACACAAGGAACAATCTTTAAAAAAAATTCCCAAAATGTAGGGTGTCTCCAATTTTGCTGCATTCTACAATACCCTGAAAATTCTAAGCTTTAAGTTGTGAAGCTAGTCATTGTAGCAATGCAGAGGAAAAAGACAGAAAACTGGTATCTGCCAAACAAGAAATTTATCCACCCTTCATTAACATGTTACAGATATTGCCCAATTGGCTATATTTAAAATTATAACATTAAGCATAACATTAAGCAATTTAAATACCTTAACACAGCCATTAGCAACAGTGAAATTATGTTTCTAAACGTGATTAACCAGTTAATCACATATAGTCAGTAAATGCAGAAAATGTGGTCTAATGTTGTTTACATTGCATATCTGCAATGCAAGCAAGTTAGTCATTTCTTCCAGTTACATGCTATTGTATTATAACTTTATCATTATATACAGGATGAGTAATGCACCTGCATAAGCAGTGCTGTTGGAATTTTACATCTGCATTGCATAGTTTTAACTTGTGTTGCATTAGCAAGTTCATTTAAATAGGGAATTTATATTCAGGTTGAACCTCTCTAGTCCGACACCCCAAGGACCTGATCAATGCTGAACCAGAGAATTTGCTGAACCATGGAAGGACAATATTGTCTAGCAGCATTACCAACCCTTCCACTGCTTAGTGGGCTCTAGAAGACACGTGGGGGTAAATTAGAGCTAAATAACAGCACAAAGCACTTAGAGTCAGGACCTGCAGCTGTAAACAAATTTTATGGGACTGTGAGGGCCACACTCATGATACGTGGACATCCAGCTATATAAAATCATGCCAACCCAAACCAATACTGACTTGAGAGGTGGAACCTGTATTAGTTCAGCTTTTTTTTTTTTTTTTTTAAATTAAAGCACAGAGGTGGAGGAATGGGATATTTTTTTATTACCCGATGCCTAAGACTCTCACTCATGGATCAGGATCCTGTTGTGCTAGGTTCTGTAGAAACATAGAAGAGACTGACCTTGCCCCCAAGTTCTTATACAGCTGAGCTTCTAAGAATGCGGGCCTAGAATTATCATTGCATCAGCGTTGGTAACGTACTAATAACTTAGTTGGGGCTTACAATGTTAGAATGACATTAGGAAGAATTACACCTTACACTTCAAGTTAAAGTACTTTATTATGTCTTTATGTGAATAACTTACTGATTGTTTATTTTGTTAATACCCAATAATTCACCTTCACTCTGTCATTCATACCATGAGTAAGGTTGGCACCGTGAGACAACAGGTTGGGTACTTAAACATTGCTGCAGATTTTTCTTTTCAAAGTGTCAGCTGGCAGCCAGTTTAGCCTGCTTGGTCTAAACACGCTGATAGGTTTAAAAGGAATTTTGTCTCTGAGAATGTACACTCTTCTTGTGGAAACATTCCATCACACAGTGCTGTGAAATCACTTCAAAATGTCAACAATAGCACTTCACTACCTTATAGTGGATTCATGCTTTTACTGATTGTCTCAATGTGACTCAACAGTTTCAACAATGCAGCTGGGTTGTATGGGAAAAGGTTTCTTCTCTGTAACCTAGAAATTGCTTTTTGCAATTCTTCCAAACATTTCATTGATTTGAGAAGCACAGGGTTATTTGAGGATATATTACATACCATGGGTGAAGAGGGATTAGACCTTTTTTGTTTCAGGGGCAATGCTTTAGATTCAAGTGTATGGTGTTTGTCATCTAGGTCCATACGAACAGTTTCCTCCCTTATCTCTGTACTGCCTTGATTATTTAAAGGCATCTGCTTTATGTTTGCCAAACATTCATTTCCCGCTGATTCCAATTCAGAATCTTCTGAACTGTCATAATTAACAAGGCTTTGAAAGCAATCCAATACTGAGGTGTTATCAGTGCATATCAATGAGTTAGACTTGTTGGGTTTTAGAACTTGGTCATCACCTTGCTTTTCCATGTGTATAGAAGGCTTCTGGGAAGAAGCCAAAGATACCAGTGTGTGTTGTTCTGGATCACAACAAGCATTTTCCAAACTCGAATCTGTCAGACAAGTTATTTTTTCTTGGTGGGATAACGTGACAAAAGAAACACACACGTTTCTTTTAGACACAATAGCAAAGCAGTTAGAGATGCTGACAAAATGATGCCAGTCTTCTTTAAGAAGTTTTAAATATCTTACGAAGTACTCAAGGAAGCAGGTTTCTGATGAAATCAAAAAATCAAGAAGAACTGTGAAATCAAATGCAATGCTTTTTAGGAAATATAAAAAGATACAGTGAGGATTACAGCCACTCTCATGTGTCAGGCAGATCCAGGTTTCTTTTTCTTTTGCAAGGCACAAGTTACCAGCTGCATCATGCCATAATCTGAAAAAAATAGTCAAAACACAGAATGAATGGAATGCAATAGAACAGCTATTTATTACTGAATATATTTTCCATAAAAACATTCTTGCTTAACATTATTTAGTAATTTTAACTACCTAGGTAGCAGCAATATGTGAGAGCTGAGCTGGATACACATCAGATCCTACTAAAATAAAGGCAAGATTTTCCAATCTATAGATTTAATTCAGCAAAATTCATTTGAGATCAGCTGTGGCGGTAGAGCTAGAGTCTCTGTTAGTATAAAAACCAAGAGTGGACTCTCTGAGGGCCTGCCAGCTTTGGAATTTGCTTCCCTTCTTGGTCTGAAATATATTTAAGCTGATAACATCCATGATATTAATATATCTGAAACTTTTTTGCTCAGTTAGCGTAAACTATAATACTCCATTTAATATGTAATTATAAGTTATGTCAAAGGTGTCTTGAACATGTGACTAGATACCCTTTTCGTGCTTTTGTAAAAATGCAAAACATTAATAAAGGTAACTTCATTTACAAGATTCTACACATCTTGGAAAAAGTTATTTAGGTTCCTAAATAATAGATTTATTGCATTAAAGTTAGATACTTTAAAGTAGGTGTCTCAAACTCCAGGCTCACAGGACATCCCCAGCTGGAGCAGTTGTGCAATTCAGCTTGGGAGTACTGCTGAACTGACAGAAAAGGGATCCGTTCCCACCACCACCCTGCGACTCCCAGGCCAGATTGCGCAATTGCTCCAGCCAGGGATGGCCTACAGGCTGGGAGCTTGTGACCCCTGCTTTAAGGCTAAAGGCTATCATTTTCAAACTTGGGTGCCTTAACATTTAACAACAGATGCTACTAACAATAATGCAATCAAATAAGTTTGAAATCAGCAAGTGATTCACCCAGATAAGTTTCTTTTCATAAATTTGGTCTGCATCTTACCTTCTTTGTACTGGAAATTGAATGAAAAATCAAACACAAGGGTTTGCGTGATTAATTCATAATGCACATATCGCAACGTAAGTTAGATATCAATACTGCCACTTTTCTGCAAGTTATGGGGCTCGTGCTTAAAAAGCCATTACTGTAAGATGTGATAACAGATCACTACAGCAATCCTTAGATTCAACTTCTATTCATTCTTAAATTTTGTTCATAACATGAAATCCTTCTCCAAAAAGCTGAGTGTTCAAAACACTTTCAGTCAGCATCTGACCATCACTCAAATTATGGTAATTCAGCTACTGTAATTTAGAGGGTAGTATTGAACTTGTAATAAAAAATACTACCATCAACACCACAGAGTCTGAGCCAAAAACCTATTAACAGCAATATAAGGCACCCAGTGAATTTCAACTATTGTGAAGTCAATGGGAATCATATCAGGTCCTATAAAACCATTCAATATATCCATTAAATATAGCTCAAAATGCATTTCTTGTATTATTTCTTATGTAATGATCATAAGAAAATACTGCTATTACAAACTATTATGTTCTCAATAAAGTAGTTTAATTTGTCTTAATAGCCCCATCAAAGAAACTTATATTTACATATATATACTAACCTATCAAACTTTAAATAAATTGTTAACAGTGTTTTAGCAGCTTCCAGCATGTCATCATCTTGTTCTATAAAGACCATGGAAAGCCACGCACAACAATGTTCATTTAATAAAGGCTTCAAATGTTGCTTCAAGAATATCAATAGCTGGAACATGAAACTCTGCAAGTCTGCTAAAAACATAAAGCATAACTATAAAAAGCAAAATGTCATTTAAAAAAGCCAAACACACACTTCCTTAAATTAACAATGAACCCAGCTGTCCAAGCACACATCCTTTAGCTCTACTGAATTAGCATTGCATTGACAAATGCCTTACAGAATAATACTGTTTATGGAATCAAAAATCAAAGCAATTAGAAATGGTTTGCTAAGAGCCAACAGCAGAATCATTTCACCCTAAAAGCAAAAAATACTTTTTCCATAAATATTGTATACGGTATGTAAAAAGTCTTACATTAACTTTTACAAGTCTAATGTAAAATACAGATTTCACCGCTGAAGTGCAAGACAACTTCCAGAAGAGTTAACACTGATGCAATTTAAAAGACATATGCAAGTATATGGGATCCTTAGGCTCTTTTCACTCTCTTCCACAGAAAAACCACATATAAGAGGTGAGGCAGGGGAACCTTTATAGTTGGGGGTTAGGACAGGGTCAGCCCTCTCTCTCCCAGTCTTACTGAAGAATAAACAGGGAGATAACATCTCCAAAACTTGCTGGTTTCAGGAGAGCTGTAAAAAACCCAAAGCCATCTACACAGAAATCCTGAGTTCCACATTTGCCCTAAGGCCTCTGGTTCTCATTGGCTCTTTGACTGCATGTCGCCACTGGTCCTGGTCTCCAGCAAATGCAAACAGAGGGGTGAGAGATAATCTGCCTCATCCCCTGGATGCAATGATCCGATAAGGCCACCTTGCTTTAATTTATCCCACTGGTCCCTCCCATACAAAGGAATAATCTGGTGAAGTGTAAAGAATGAGGGTATGTCTACACTATGCAGCTTTTAGCAAAAGGCTGTGTTGACACGGTCTTGTAGGTAAGAGCCAGCTTGTGTGAACACTGTTTTTAATCAACACTTTTGTCGACAAAATACTTCCACCCCCAACTAGGGAGGTGTGTGTGTCTTGCTTTGTCGACTGACAAATCAGTGTTCACACTTCCACTTGCTGCGGCAAAACGTTGTCCATCAAATACAAGTGTAGACATACCCAAAGATTCTAAGGGGCTAGTTCTTCAGCATCAACAAATTTCAGAATCGGGACCTAAACTTTTGCAGGAAATATAAATGTATGAAATTGGTAATATAACCATAATGAAATCTACTCAAAAAATTCTTCAAAGATTAGACATGTTCTCAAGTGTATGTTGGCATACTGTTTTGAATGAACATAAATATTGAGAGATACAAACCAAAACTTGCCAGAAAATTACATTAAGTTAATAAAATTTTCCTGCAAGCCCTCATTCTGGATTGCAATACCACTTAATTTTAAATACTATATCTACTGCATGTCAGCAGCACCTGCATTGCCACATACACATGGAGGATACAATAGGAAACAGATTCTTCCATGACTACCATGTGATTTCTAGTTCTGTGGCCAGCTCTTGCATACCTACCTTAGATGAGAGATTTATCTTTGCAATATTCCAGTGCATAGTATAAAAATTCTCCAAATCCAAATTTGGGCCCCTACTTTTCCAAACAAGTGCTCTACATTTCTACAAAAAGTAATGGTAACTTAGATATCAGAAGGCATTTCTTAGATTGTATTGGAAAAGCTTTATGGATTGAATGGTATGGCTCGCCATTTATCTGAAAGGAAGCTAATGTCGCAAAGATTGTTACAATATGGGAATCATCACTGCTGTAAAATAGTACAATATCACTCACCCTTAAATTACATTTTTAAAAGCTTGCCTTGCTTCTCAGAAAAAGAACATGAACATTCAATCATCCTACATGCTTTTCAGACTGAAGTCAGGAATCATTCCATTTCTGTTTTTGTACAACTAGGACATCTGGTATCTTACCACCAAGGGTTAATTTAGATGATTTTAAGCAATTTTAAGTCTATAATTTAGCAAAAACCTCAAACAAAACCCAAAAATATGATCAACCACCTGTTCCTAAATTGTGTTCCTAACATATAGCTTAAAATTCAGTGAAAGGATTACTCCAATATTTTAATTATTTTAGCTAGTTACACCCTTCCTACTTCCATAGGCCAAGCAGTGGGTTCCTTGGAAGCGGTGCCCAAAACTGCATTCTCCACAGACATCAAGCGGTTTAGTGTCTGTATAGCTCTTAGAGGTGTGTGTGAAGGGGTGATCTGAGCTCTGTGCCTTGGCTGGGGGAGACCTGGAAATCTGGCCCAGCAGGACAGGGTGCTGAGAAGCCCCAGAGAGCAAGGAGGTGAGTAAGTGGCTTTGTCAGCACTTTGGAAAGCAGCTACAAGGAGTTTTCTGTGACCACACCTTGTCTCAAAAGGATGTTGAGGGGACATCAAGTCCAGTCCCCTGCCCTCATGGGAGGACCAAGTACCATGTAGATCATCTGTGAAGGTACAACTACACTGCAACACTATTTCGGGATACAAGAGTGTCCCAAATATAGCTATCCTGAGTCTTAACAGCAGGCTCGCTATTTCAGGCTCGCTATTCCAACGTCCCTGTAAGCCTCATTCTATGAGGAGTAAGTGGCATTTCGGAAGAGTGTTTTATTTCAAAATTTGGCACTGTGCAGACAGCACCAAATGATGAAATAAGCTATTTTGAAATAGCATCAAAATAAGATATGCAATTTGTTTAGCTCAAACTGTATACCTTATTTCAAATTATGGTGCACTGTAGACACACTCTGAGAAAGGTCTGTCTAACCTGCTCTTAAAGATCTCCAGTAATGGAGATTCCATAACCTCCCTAGGCAATTTATTCCAGTGCTTAGCCACCCTAACAGTTAGGAAGTTTTTCCTAATGTCCAACCAGGGGCGGCCCATGAACCTAGGCAAACGAGGCAGTTACCTAGGGCGCCGCCAGCCCAGGTGCCCAATGATGACATGGCAGGGCGCTGGGGCGCACCATGATTACGTCATGGCCATTGACGGCCGTGCTGGCGGGGGCGCCAATCGCGCCTTCCACCTAGGGCGCCAGCTGCCACAGCCGGCCTCAGACCGCTCCTGTGTCCAACCTAAATCTCCTTTGCTGCAATTTAAGCCCATTGCTTCTTGTCGTATCATTAGAAGTCAAGGAGAACAATTTTTCTTCCTCCTCCTTGTGACATCCTTTTAGGTATTTAAAACTGCTATCATGTCCCTTATCAATCTTCTCTTTTCTAAACTAAACAAGCCCAATTCTTTCAGTCTTCCTTTATAGATCATGTTTTCTAGATCTTTAATAATTTTTCAGATGCATGCATCTGACAAAGTGGGTCTTTGCCCATGAAAGCTTATGCTCCAATAAATCTGTTAGTCTATAGGGTGTTACAGGACTCCTCGTTCCTTTCGCAGATTCAGACTAACATGGCTACAACTCTGATACTGAATAATTTTTGTTGCTCCTCTCTGAACCTTCTCAAATTTCTCTATGTCTTTTCTGAAATGTGGTGCCCAGAACTGGACATATTCCAACAGAGGCCTAATCAGCAGAGTAGAGCGGAATGACTTCTTGTGTCTTGCTCACAACACTCCTGTTAATGCATCCCAGAATGTTTTCATTTTTGCAATAATCTCACACGATTGACTCATATTTAGCTTGTGGTCCACTATGACCTCTAGATCCTTTTCTGCTGTACTCCTTCCTAGACTAAGCCCTTAGTTCGAGCTAACTGTTACACCTTGTGGAATGAGGTATAACAGTTAACTCGAACTAAGGACTTAGTTCGAGTTAATGTTTGACTGCCATGTGTAGCCGTGGGCAGTTAGTTCGGACTAGGGGGATTTAAAAATGGCGCCCGGACGGGAAGATGCAAATAAAGCCCGGGATACTTAAATCCCGGGCTTCATTTGCAACTTCGAATGCCTACATTAGCCTCCCTAGTTCGAACTAGGGGGCTAATGTAGACATACCCGAAGATAATAAGGGAATAAGTAACAGACTGATGGATTTGTTGAGAACAAATATGTCACACCAACTTGATAGCTTTCTTAGAATAACAAGCATTGTGGAGAAGGGAGAAAAGTGGTAGATGTGATATATCTAGATTTGAATAAGGCTTTTTTATATAGGCTCCCATGACCATCTCATTAACAAACTAGGGAAATACAACCTAGATGGACCTGCTATAAAGGTGACTGCATAACGTTTCCCAGAGAGCAGTTATCAAAGGTTCAGAGCCATGTTAGAAAGGCATAATGAGTGGAGTTCTTGAAGGGATCAGAACTGGAGCCAGTTCTGTTCAATATTTTCATCAATGATTTAGATCGGGGTCAGCAACCTATGGCATACGTGCCATAAGTGGCATGCGATCTGATTTTGAGCAGCATGCAACGGGAGCTCAGCCTTCCCCTCCTCCTGCATGCAGCAGGGAGCTCAGACTGCTGCTGAAGCCCTCCTCTTTCCCCCACGCCTGGCGGAGGTGACAAGAGGCAGCGCTAGGGCTGAGGCAGCAGCTCCTCCAGCATCCGGGGTTAGCTCAGGAACTGCGTGACTGTGGTAGCGGCACCTCCAGGGCCAGTCTGGGAATTGTGTGGCTGCGGCAGCGGTGCCTCCAGCCTCTGGGGCTGGCTGGGAATTGCATAGCCATGGCAGCAGCACTTGCGGGGCCAGAATTGTGTGGCTGTGGTGTCTTCAGGGCCGCCACCGAAGACAGCTGGGAAGTCATCACATAGCACTGGCCCCAGCTTTAGCCTTGAGTAAGGCTGGATTTGGGGCTGCAGTGTGACATGGGAGTGCTGGGGAGGCGGCTGTTGCAGTGGGAGATCAGGCTGTTGTTCTTTCTGCCATCATCACTGATGGAGCACTGCTGGAGACAGAGGCTTGTATGCTACTTTAAAGTATCAAATCATGAGCCTGAGATTGGAGAACTCAGCAAGGGAAAGTGAGGCCAAGGATGACATTAAATGGTAAGATTTGCATCTTAGTTTATTTATTAATGAAGCTGCTAAAATGTAAGTAGGAGTATTATAGACTTTAAAAAGTATCAATGGCACGCAGGCCTGTAAATAGAAGTGAAGAAATTAAATCTTGGCAAGCCATTTCTGAAAGGTTGCCGACCCCTGATTTAAATAACGGCCTTAGAGGTATGAAATCGCAATTAATCAGTTAAAGGTTGGGTTACAGCTCTAGGGGTAGAGGCAGCTGCCAGCCCGTGGGGGCTCCCAGCTACGGATATCAATGTGTATACGACTACATGATTAACCGATAAGCCTAGGCTTATCAGTTAAACCTGTCGACTACATGCATACCTCCCTCCCCCCCGCATCAAACAGTCGTGTAACTGCTAAAATTTGATGCAGTTACATGACTATTCAATTACACGCTGTGTAACATCCCTATTCCTAACCCCACATAGGCGTGGCTGGCTGCCCAGACCTGCTCCCGTCCCCAGCCACCAACTGTGTGGAGATGGCTGCGGCCTGCCAGCTGGTGGCCCCACACAGGGGCCCAGTAACTAAAAGGGTGATGCTCACTGGGCAACCGGTTAACCCTTCACATTCCTAAATGGCATAGAAAATAAAGGTATAAAGTTTGTGGATGATACCAAGATGGCAGGATTGTAAGTACTTTGGAAGAATAGGATTAAAATTTAAAATGATCTGGACAAACTGGATAAGTGATCTGAGGTAGACAAGATGAGCTTTAATAAGGACAAATCCAAAGTACTCCACTTAGGACATAGGAAGTTTTTTCTTATCAGGGTGGTTAAGCACTGGAATAAATTGCCTAGGGAACTGTCAGGAACGGGATGTATTGTATAGTCGATTAGGGATGTATTGTATAACCAATTAGAAAATGCTTATTGGTTAATGCTATAGATTCCTACACACATTCCTCCTGCCTCCCACCAGCAAATTTTTTAGCAGGCTGACCAGCAGCCCAGATTAGTCCCAGCTTCTGCCGGGCCTGGTACCTATACCTTGCTGCAACTCTGCATTTAAAGTGTATTAGGAGCCAGGTGGGCAGGCAGCACAGCTCAGTTTCAACTTACACCAGGTCCAGAACCTCAGACTGTCTTCCGTGCTGCTGCCTCTGTATCAGAGGCAACAGTGAGGGATGACAGGCAGCCACTTCATGAGCGGAGCTCTTTTTTAAACTGGCTCCCCTTCAGACCAGCTCCCATCTGGCACCCCGCGCTGCTGCCTCTATATCAGAGGCAGCAGCACAGAGTGGCAGAGGGCTCCTTGGGAGCTGGGCCAGAGCACACTGGCTGCTGACCTCACCCCTGGTGACTACAAAATAGTTGAGTAACCGATAAGAATTCATTCAGTTAATCAACTATTCAATTAACCAATATTTAACATCCCTAGTCTAGCTGGTGCCTGACCTCCAAAGGCCCTTTCATGACCTATGATTGTATGATTCTCTGCTATGCCTCTAGCTGCCCTGATGAGTGATTTATTTACCCCAGGGATTACAGCAGGAAGAGCAATTATTTATCTTCTGTCATTCAGGGTGCCAACTTATTACACTCTACAGAAGGAGTATGGTTATGCTGCAAAGTATTAATAGATGTCATCAGTCAATAACAGTAGCCCCAAGTGGTTCCTATGTTCACTCTTTCAATATTCTGATTTTCCCCAAAATCAATAGGGTTCTGGTCACTTACTCCCTGAAATTGATTGGATGTGGCATTTAGAAGTAATTGTGTTACACACATACACTCAAAAAAATGCAATTGAACTGTGTGCAAGGCTCTGAAAGCTCAACCAAGACATTTAAATTGCCTAAATCAACCATAACCATAACATTTAGAATGCATGCTTCTTAATGAATTTAAATTGAACATTACCTTTTATTTCAGCTGCTTTAATAGAGTCCTGGAACTTGATCTCTAAAGCTTTAAGTAAAACCAAACTTAAGGCTCTGAGGATTACTTGGTCAGGACCACTGTGGATGCTATCCTCAGGTTGAGCTTCATTGCCTCCAAAATAGCTGGCTTTTCCAGAAACAGGTATTTGATTCAGCCACCCTAAACTCACAGCTTGCAAAACAATGTTAGCCAGTGCTAACATATCCTTATACAAATAAGGATCTTGTAGGGATAAAGTGGGTAATGATCCACTTACAAAATCTTCACCAGCTTTATAAAGTAGACTTTTTTTAAGGAGCATAATGAATTTCTTCTTGATAAAATAATGAATGGATGAACAAGTGAGGTCCAAGATGTAAGATGTATTAAAAAATAAAATTCTTTGGCATTTGAAATGTGACCCTAGTTGGATTCTTGAGGCCACAAGAACTTCAAGAAAATCTATAAATCCAATCAAGTTGTTTTCAGCTTTAAAACATGAAGTATCTTGGCAGCTGTTTAAACGATGAGACAAAATGGAATTGTAAAATCCTTCAAATGCAGTATCAAGAGGAGTAAAAACCTTCTTCAGTATGTCTATAACAGTAAAAAAAAAAAAAAAAAAAAAAGCATTAAGCAAGGTTGAAATGGAATTCCTACAGTACAATGTAATCTACTATATACAGGGCATCCCCACTGTAGAGTCGCCCTGATATACATCCATACCACACTAAAGTCATTGACGTTTGTAGGAACTGATGCGTTATAAGTCCTCCCGTTCCCCACTATAAGTCGTGTGAAACACAACTAATTTGCTTAAATGGAAGTCAGCTGTGGGGAAAAAATTCCCCGCTTTAAGTTGTTTCGCTATAAAGTCCAAGTTTTTTGGAAAGTATCTTCAGGAGGACGGCCTGAAGTTGAGAGAGTCTGCCCGTTCAACAACTCCTCTTACAATGGGAAGAACTAGGACCACTAAATTCAGTATGCAGTGTCTTTTTATCATAATTTAAACCAAGAGAAGAGTTTGGTTGTGCCCGGAAAAGGGGATGTGCCCAGAATGGGATTACTTCTTATAAAACCATACAGAAGAGTCACGGAATTACCAGGCAAATGAAAGGAGGTGGCTGGGGGTGCACCTTCCTATTTGGAACTGCCCTAGCCCCAAGCCTCCCACACCCCTGATGCCAGGGAAGTCTGACAGTGTCTTCAAACAAAAAGTGAGCCAGGTAATATTACCCTCCCTTCATATGGTGAGACATTGCTGGCTGTTCCCCTTTATCAGGGAGCGAAGGGAAGTGCACAATTAGCTGCATTCCTCACTTTTGATGAGAAGCCCAGGGGACAGATGAACCTGGAGTTGCCCCAGCCAGGGGATATGCACCCTTCCCCTGGCTGTGCCCACTGGAGCTGCAGCAACCATAAAGAGGCGCTTCTCATTTGGCCACAACAAGCTGCTGCGGTGAGAGGGCTGGGATAGTCCTCTTTCCCCAAGGTAGTCTGTATACTGAACCACTCTTCCCCAGCCCCACCCCAGAGCAATGATTAAAATGAAGCATGGACATTTTCATTTTTATCTTTTTAAACCAAATTAACAATGATCCAAGCAATGCCGGGTAAACCGCACTACCAGATTTAAAACTTTTCACCACTGAAACAGCAGCAAGGAGGAAATCATGATAATCTCTCAAATTCAATGTGTACTGAAGGCACTGTATTTTTATTTTTTACTTTTTCATAATGAAAAAACCCACAGTATCATGAAAAAGTAAATAGTATTATTATTTTAAAGCAGCTGATTGCTCTGAAATAAGTATAGTAAGTAGCCTTCCGCCCCCTAGTGGAGACTAGTATATTAACGTTTAAAAATTCTTAGTACCTGCTTTCTGCAAATCTTTATCTTTCAAAATGTCTCTAATAATAGCTCTAAGAATCCAAAGACATTCTGCTACTTGATCACTCTTAGGGAAGTCTGACAATGTCTTCAAACAAAAAGTGAGCCAGGTAACATTAAATGTATTCTAAAAAATAAATTGAAAAAAATCATTGTGCATGGTTGTATATAGCAAGTTAACACAATGACAACAGTTTAAATGAAAGTTGTGGGTATGAACGAAGAACAGACAGAATATAGTCAAACTGCATGGCACTTCTAAAGAACCTGTTACCCCTTTACAAATATTAAAATGCACAACAGACATTTGGTAAGCAAAAAACTTCATCAGGCTTTGGTTTTCCTATATGTAAAATGAGGATATGTGATTTATCCAAAGTCCCACAAAAGAACTGCAGCAGAGGCAAGAACTCAACCCATAGCTCCCACTTTTCTTGTTTGTAGAGGCTGGTAATAGTATAAACGTGAGGAACTGTTTGCAAGAAAACACAGCCTAACTATTTTGCACACGTACAAGTTATTTTCTTGCTGGTTGGACCTCCCTCGTCTGCACCCTTGGAACCTGACCGGTCCTGAACAAGAGGATTTGCCAGACCAGGGGAGGTACCTCCCAACATAGCCCATGCTGAACTCCTGCACCTTGGTAGGACTCCAGCCCAGCACCGCTGCTGCCTGCCCAGCCGTGGCTCCCTCCACTGCCGCGGCCGGACCCCGACCTCCACTGCCAGGGCTGGAGCTCTGCAGCCACTACTGACCCCTGCTACCTTCTGCCCATAGGAAGCAGAACTGTCCACTGCACTGATCGACCCTCCATATTTCCACCTCTGCAGGAGGCTCCCGAGTCACCATTCCCTCTGCCACACTCCTGCACCAGAGATCGACCTCCTTTTACCTGAGCTCTGTGGTCCAGGAACATTCCTGGTCCTGTCGGACCAAAGAAGTTGCCAAACCAGAGAGTCTCAGTTAAGCGAGATACAATGTGTACTAGCAAATTGAGACACAAGACAGAAACTGAATTAATGGGGTTTATCATTTTAAGATCCCTATGCAAGAAGAATTAAAAACAAATATATTTCTGAAAGCCAATACCATCAACAGAAATTGTGACTGGGCACATACTGTAGACCCTATATATAAACATAGTAGTTGTATCTCTGGCAGTCCCAGGATATTAGAGGGTGAGGTACTGTCTCTCACGAACAGAAGTTGGTCCAATTAAAGACTTTACCTCACTCACGTTGTTGCACGAAGTAAACAGGAAGTTTTGGTAAGTGGGACATTCAGACAACACAAAATGGAAAAGTTTTCTATTAGTTATGAACTGGTGAGCGGCTTTTTAACTGGAGGACTTCAATTTCAAATACAGTAAGGCTATGTCTAGACTGGCATGATTTTCCGCAAATGCTTTTAACTGAAAAGATTTTCTGTTAAAAGCATTTGCGGAAAAGAACGTCTAGATTGGCACAGATGCTTTTGCGCAAAAGCACTTTTGCGGAAAAGCATCCGTGCCAATCTAGATGCAGTTTTGCGCAAGAAAGCCCCGATCGCCATTTTTGCCATCGGGGCTTTTTTGCGCAAAACAGTCCTCCCCTGTCTACACTGTATTTGCACAAGAGGGCTTATCCCTGAGCGGGAGCATGATAATATTTGTGCAAGAACACTGACAATCTTACATTAGATCGTCCGTGTTCTAGCGCAAATTCAAGCGGCCAGTGTAGACAGTTGGCAAATTTTTCCGCAAAAACTTGCAGAAAAACTTTCCAGTCTAGACACAGCCTAAGATTTATAAAGTTCACCAAGCTGTATAGTTGATATTCTACAATGAACATTGCCTGAAGGGACCATCCTTACGACACAACATAAGATTAAGTGCATTTTATTTAAAAACAAAAACCACAAGCTTGATGAATATTTACATTAAAAGAAATATTCATAGCTCTTTACAGTTTGTTGCTCCTGCCTATGTTTGACCTCACTTCTTCCTACACATTCTCCTGATCACTGTCAGAGCCACTAACTGTTCCCTTTGTCCATTCCATGCCTTGTTAGGTATGTCTATACTGGAGGTGGGAGCAAATTTTCCCTACTGGGTGGACAGACTTATGCTAGCAGGACTCAAACTAGTGCTCTAAAAATAGGATTGTGGATGTTCTGACTAGGGCAAAAGCTCAAGCTCTCAACTCCACGGGAAGGGGGGGCCTTGAGAGCTCAAGCTTCCACCAGAGGTAGGACATCCACAATTGCTATTTTTACCACACTAACTCAAGCCCTGCTAGCTCTCTCCCACTTGCAGTGTAAAGATACCCGTGACTCCCCTCCTACCAACCATCTCTCCTTTCCTTCATCAAATGACACCTCACCCAAGACCTTCTCAAATATAACCCTTCCAGTGTGATCCACCCCACTACACTACGTCATATTACTTTCACACACTGTTTCTGAAGACGGTTCAGGAAAAAAAAGTGCCCAGTGTTGCACAAAAAGCAAAATTTAGAAGCAGGAGGCTACTGAGGGATGTGGCCATGGCATGCTGCAAATCAGTCATGTTAGCAACTACCAGATCCATTGCCTAAAATCACTTTTTGGAAGAACGGAACACAGGAGACAGACATTACAGATCTGAAGTTGCAGGAAGGGAAAAAACTCTGTTACTGCTCTCTAGTCTGACAGGGAATGGAAGGATTCCAGTATCTCCTTTCACCCACAGGCACTGCCTGTTTAGGCAGGCTTTGCACTAGACAGAAAATTTAACTATTACACTGTAAAATTTTCAGTGACTATTCTGTGCAATTTAACAATTGTAGAGAGCCAGCTATGGTTAGATGGAATAACTTAAGAAAAACTGGATGAAATGTATCCACCAAGTATTCATGTTCACTTTGATAGGTTACATACAAACTCAAAGTCCACCCAGGAACTTGACACACTCACCTCTTCCTTTAGCTGGAAATATACAAGGGAGGCAATACTTTTTGAAGCCATGTGAGATAACAGCTTATCAGAACTGCTGCACAGACAAATCTGCAGTCATGTAAAAAAAAATCTGTAAGTTACAAAGTAAAAAGTGAGTGTATTCTGGAAAGTTTTGAAAATATTTAGAAAAGCTTACTAATTTTGAATCACTTTTCATCTCTTTCAGAAGAACAGTAATTATATCGCAGTACTTCCGTCTTATGCTGAATTCAATTTCCTGGGACTGTATTTTGGCAATCATCATCTTCACCAAGGTTAACTGGAGCAGTATCATTTCCCGTGAGCAGAACATTGAAGAGTTCATGTTTGCAAAGACAGCAGATTTATTATCTGTCACAAGGGTAATAGCTTCTGAAACAGCAGATTCCTGATGGCTCCAAGAGCCACACTTTGGAGATTCTAGGCATATTTGATTATGTGATTCATTACCTCTTACAGCTGAGTCTTGTGTTGAAACATACGGATTGAGGAAATAGGCATAATCATGGCTATTCTTTGTTAAAGGAGTGCCTACCAACACATCCCTATGCAGCTCCTGGAGAAGAAGAAACAGATCTCCCATTTTGAGGAAAATGTTATGTTTTTAAGAATGCCTTATGTCTTCACTTATTACTTGTGGGCATTATGGGTCACTTTTGAAGTTACTTCTGTCCAATAAAAGAAATGGATTTGTAGCTCTATAAAGACATTCCTTCTGGAGTATCTAGGGGGAAAATAACAAGATTAAACCATTTTTGCTATTAAATTTAATAAATTAGCAGAACGATACAGCTGAACTTGGATCATTTACCGAGCACCATAGGTAAAATTAAACTACTGTTAATAAACATCAGTGGAAAGAAACAAACTGCAAGTGTTCATTCAATACAATATTTCTTAAATAGCAAGAATGATAACTGACACCCACATAAAACTCTTCATCTAAACATCCCAAAGCACAAACTTTGCTATACCACAAATCCAGGAATCCTGAATTAAGCTATTTGGATGGAGTCATGCAGGACTGGGTGTACAGTAATACTTCTGAAATGGGGCAAGAATGAAAATTACTGTGGCCATTTGAAACTTCTGAGGAATTGTAGGCGGTCAGAGTGACATTATTCAGTCAATTTGGCAAAGCAGGCAAAAATACCATGCCATTCAGAATGATCAAGACCTCAATTTAAAGTCTCACATGAAAAAGCTCTTGTAACACACAGTGCCTCCAAACAGCAAGCAGGGGCACAAACTCAGACTTGAGAGAACAGTGCCACCTACTGCATTGCCAGCTCCCTTTCCTACAACATCCTGGATTTTGCCAGCTATGAATAAACATTTTTTTAAAAAAGACTTGAATAAAGATGCATAGTCAATATGTCTGAATGTTTGTACAGCAGAGAAAAGGTATACAGCCTTCTTCTCAAAACTTTTATTGCTTGAATGTTCAACAATAGCTTGTTTTGACTAACCATACCAATTTGCATATTCTTTTGCTTCTGCAAGTGACCTACTTCCCTTTTAAAGCCATTAATTGTACTGAGTTTTAAGCTGTTTGGCTGGTGGATGAGCAAAACTCAAAAAAGGAAAACAGTGTATTCACACTGGATTTTAACTCAAGAAAATAAGACCCCCGTTCTCTAAATGGATCCAGGTGAGCAGACCCTTGATCCAGACAGAGACCCAATGAAATCAGTGGGATTATACACTAGCATCAAGATCTGCCTGCGTAATGTGTTCTCATAAACTTAAATGTGAAGCCTTCATCTTGCAATGTACTTGCTGATAGCTGCGTAAGTCTTTGCAGGACTGGCACCAAAACATTTTCTTGACCAAAGAGTTGTATTAAAAATAGGCTAACTTAACTGCTCTTATGATGCAGAATCCTCTAGAGCTCAGAGACATGACTGCAACATTCAAGTGCTCTCCGGAACCGATAAAGGCAAAGTGGAAGGCAGGTTATCACAAGACACATTTTGATCTGAAACACAAAAAGAGAATGTTGGAGAAACATTACTCTCCTTCTAGAGAAGGATGTAAAAACACAGGTTTCTTATACTTGACTTCAGATTCAATTTAGGAGGGCTACATAAAAAGGAATGGGAAGAGGGTAGGATTAAGATATTCACCCACAATAATATTTAAGGTGTCAAGTATCAGAGGGGCAGCTGTGTTAGTCTGAATCTGCAAAAGCGGCGAGGAGTCCCGTGGCACCTTATAGACTGAGAGAAGTGTTGGAGCATAAGCTTTCGTGATGAAGTGGGTCTTTGCCCACGAAAGCTTATGCTCCAACACTTCTGTTAGTCTATAAGGTGCCATAGGACTCCTCGCCGCTTTTGAAGAATAAATTAAGGATCACTCTTAAAAAAAATGTTGAATAGTAGTAGAGAGGTAGCCGTGTTAATCTGATCTTGCTAAAACAAAAGGAAAAACTATGTAGCACTTTAAAGACTAACAAGATGGTTTAATAGGTGATGAGCTTTCGTGGGCCAGACCCACCTCCTCAGATCATATTCTGAAAAAGAATTGGCATGACCATATATACCAAAGGAATACAATGAAAAAAGTGACCACAATATTAAACTGACAAATCAGATTTAGAACAGAAGGTGGGGGGAGGGAGATGGAGGATGGGAATAGCTGTTTATAAGTCAATGAATGGTTAATCAGGGGTGATAAGTGGGGAAGCTGTCTTTATAATGTGCAAGGTAATTAGCATTTGTTAAGGCCCATTCATAAAGTGTCAAATTTAAGCATGAATGAAAGTTCTGAAGTTTCTCTCTGTAATCTGCTGTTAAAGTCTCTTTGAAGCAAGAAACAAGACAGGACTATGCAGCACTTTAAAGACTAACAGGATGGTTTATTAGGTGATGAGCTTTCGTGGGCCAGACCCACTTCCTCAGATCAAATTGTGGAAGAAAACTGGCATGACCATATATACCAAAGGGATACGATAAAAAAAAGTGAACACATATAAAAGTAACACATTGAAGTAAGATGCATGTAGTAAGGTCATTAAGACTAACTCCAGGTAGGTTGAAATGCAAACGGACAGGTTTTTCCTTGTGAAGATGTCTGATTTGTGGGCATTAATTCTTTGGCAAAGTGTCTGAGAAGTCCAATATACATAGCAGAAGGACATGATGGCATAAATTATATTTCTGGACGAACAGGAATGTGTGTCCTTGACCGAATAACTGACATGGTTAGGTCTAATGATGGTGTCACCAGAGTAAATATGTGGACAATGTTGGCAACAAGTTTGTTGCAAGGGAAATGAGGAGTAACAGTAGTCCAAATTAGGGGCTTTAGTTTGAACTACCTAGCCCGTGCTGCGTGTATTCACGGGCAGCCGTGGGCAGGGAGTGCGAACTAGCGGCGCATGGGAACATGCAAATTAAGCCCGGGATATTTTAATCCCAGGCTTCATTTGCAAGTTCAAATGACTACATTAGCCACCCTTGTTCGAACTAGGACCTAACCCTAAGTTATTGATAATGCATTGGAGGGGTTTAAGTTGGGGGCTAAAGGTGGTGTTCTGTTGTTGGTTTTCTTGGGCATATCTTGAAGTAGATGGTTTCTGGGTATTCGTCTGGCTCTTCCGCGTTGTTGGTTTTCTTGGGCATATCTTGAAGTAGATGGTTTCTGGGTATTCGTCTGGTTCTTCCGCTTTGTTTTTTTATTTCCCCCGGTGGGTAATTGAGATTTACCAATGCTCGGTAGAGATCTTGAAGTTTCTGATCTCTGTCAGTGGGATTAGAGCAGATGCGATTGTACCTAAGGGCCTGACTATAGACCAGTTTCAAGTTAATATCCAAGTTTTCATACCCCCTACTCATAACTCCAGTATCTGAAGAAGTGGGCTGTGCCCATGAAAGCTCATGATACCATCTACATGTTTTGTTACTCTATAAAGTGCTACGAGACCATTTGTTGTTGTTGTTTTTTTTTAAACACATTATAAAGACAGCTTCCCCACTTATCACCCCTGATTAGCCATTCATTGACTTATAAACAGCTATTCCCTTCTTCCCTTCCTCCCTCTCTCCCCACCTTCTGTTCTAAATCTGATTTGTCAGTTTAATAATGTGTTCACTTTTTTCACAGTATTCCTTTGGTATATATGGTCATGCCAATTCTCTTTCAGAATATGATTTGAGGAAGTGGGTCTGGCCCATGAAAACTCAACGTCTATTAAACCATCTTGTTAGTCTTTATAGTAGTACATAGTTTTTCCTTTTGTCTTAAAAAAATGGAGATTAATGACCAGATATTGCACATAAGCTCAATGGGAGTAATATGCAAATACTGAAAAAAATATATAAAAAGTTTAAAAAAAGACAATCTTTCTAAAAGTGTACCAAAGGAGTAAAAATAAAGTTTTCCGCTACCAATTTAGGAGAAAGACTGGATGGCTAAGTATGATTCAAGGTAGTTGCTAACTGTTAGCCATCCAATCTTTCTCCTAAATGGGTAGCGGAAAACTTTATTTTTAGACTTTTTTTTTTTTTTTAGTTTTTTATTTTTGTCTTTTTGGTCTTTTCCCTCCACACACACTGCGGGATTGCTAGCTCCCCTTCTCTCCCCCACACACAAACTCTCTGGGGATACTGCCTTTCCCCCAGCTCTGGGGCTGTTGCCCTCCTGGTTCTGGTGCTACTACCCTCCCTCCAACTCTGGGGCTGCTGCCAGGGGACCGGGAGCCAGAACTGGCAGGGGCGGCCTGCTGCTTCGGCTACAGCGGGAGCCAGGCAGCAGATCACTTCTACAGGAGCTGGTGGGGACGGTCGGCCTGTGTGCAGGAAAGGCAAGTTGAAAATCCCATGATAGACAGACAAGAACGGTGACAGCTTAATAGAAAAATTGTCTAATAAGAATTGGTCCCTCACTTTCATAAACAGAATAAAACAAAGCGTATGTAACTGCATTAGTTAACATCTACATTTTCCAAATTAGTCTCTAATTCTGGGTGCCAAACTCCAGAAGCCATAAGCCTGATTTCTAGGGCTGCTAAAATATTAGCTAGTGGTACCCAGCATATATATAGTACTTTTTAGCTGAACATCTCAAAGTACTTTCCAAAGATAGCAAATATTCCCATTTTATATATGTGGAATCTAAGAGATAGATGGATAAAGTGATTTGCTAAGGTTATGTGGCAAGTTAGTGACAGATTGAAGTATATAATCCAAGTGTCCTGACAGTGACTACCATAACTAGACCATATTGCCTCTGAGGGAGAATCTAAAATTGGGATTGGAAGATAAGACAATCCACAATGGACTATAAACGTTATGGTAGCATGCATTTTTTTACATAGACATCCATGTATTTTTGAGAATATCCTTCCACAGCACTTGTTGACTTGCAGTTTTAGAACCTTACAATGTTCCTCAACCAAATTTCAGTGAGGCTACTGTAGGGACCTCTATCAGTTCACAAAGCCTGAACTTTAAATATTAAGAATAAATCTGATACTTCAGGCTACATATTTACCCTTCATTTGTGGAATATACTTTGAATTCTACCTAAGATAGAAAATTATCTGAAAACTCATAAAATTTATTTGTGACTATTTTATACAACACTCTTTACCTAAACAAATACACATACATTTATTAATACACTCAGGACCAAACTGAATTACTTCCCTAAATGTTAAATGAATGGCTCTCTTGTGTACCAGTTAATACAATGCAATGAGGCTGTTAGGGTGAATCAACTTTAGAACTCTTCTAGGACTAGCACTATGAAATATTATCTTTCCAATACACTAGTGCTTGCACTTTCCCAGATTATATATTTTACAGCACCATTAATTTACATAGTACTTTACCAAACTTCAATAAACCATGCCACTTGTTTCAAAGACCTCAATCTAAAATAGATTAAAAAAATATAGGATACCAGGTCAGGAAAAAGTGAGTGGTGATCATTACAAAGTGGGACAGGATTGCTTTAAAAGATAGGTTTTAAAGGGTGAATTTGAAAGAAGAGATGCCAGAGGACAACAGAGATATATTCAACTATAGTAAGACAGCATGGCAGATAACTAAACAGGTGAGGAAGGGAGTAACAGCAGTATGACAGTAGGGATATGTAAGGAATAATGTACTCCAATTATATCTAATATTATGGCAGCTCCTAGAAGCCAATCAACAGAACGACCCAGAATAAGACACAATCCCTGTGATGACGAATTTGTAATGTAAACAGACGAGACAAAAGATTGAGAAAAAAGAGATATAGCTTACAAGCAGCATGAGTAACATAATGATTGTCAAACATCATGTAAATTTCATTACTGTTTTGGTTTGATTTAAATACAAATCACAGGGGTTGATAAATAAGGATTACCTAAATAGAAAGCAAGGGAAGAGAGACACTAAAGGAAAAGAAGGGAAGGGATCAGAGAAGGAAGCATGGAAAATAGTTTATTTGAGGCCAATAAATTTTGAGGAATACCATAAAACATGTAAGTCAATGGCTAGTCACTAACTCCACAATATCTCTAAAATGGAATTATGAAGTCAATATACATTTTCAGTGTGGAGTACTTAAGCTAAGTCCTATATACAAAAATCCATCACTCATTTGATAGTGACTAACGAAACAGTTGTTTTCAAATCACATTATCTTCTACATTCTCAGACTACATCTTAAGTTGCAAGTGTTTTTTTTTATTACAGCTGACATGCAGCTGGATGGTATATTATGACTCACATAATACAATTAGCCAAAAAGCATGTGTTTCTCACAATCATGATTAAAGGAAAGTCCTGTTAAAACACTATGTTTGTTTTACTTTCAACTTCATTAAAGTAGATCATATTAAAATACTATTGCATGGAAAGCTTCTCTCTTTAATTGCGGTCTTCACAAACAGAAAACAATGGTGGTTGCAACTCTGATGTATGAAATATGGGGCATGAGGATTCTCTAATTTCACTGAAAGGCTTTTGTTTGCGTCAAGGAAGATCCACACTTAAATCATGAGGTATAAACTAAACTCTGGCTCTCTTAACTTTGTATGCGGGTGGAGAGTTGGGGGTTTTTAGCTTATAGGCTTGCCTTTAAAAACTGTTACATTTCCGGTCTCTGCGTGGGAATAAATATTTCCAAGGTAAATCACAGTTTGACCTTCCTGTCTGTGCAAACACTTTCCACCAATTGTGAGGTGTGAACCATCTGCTGTCCTGATGGTCTGCAGTGTCGTTATAGATGGGCTGATTCCTAGATAGGAAACACAAGGTGGGTGACGTCATTTCTATTATTGAACCAACTCCTGTGGGTGAAAAAGACCACCTTCAAGTTCAAAGTTTAGACAGACCTGTTTTTTCCAGGTCTGGGAAACCAGCTTGGAAGCTGGTCTCGTTCACCCACAGAACATTGGTCCAACAAACTGTATTACCTCTCCCACCGTCTGCCTCCGGATTATAATTTAGAATGTCAATTTTTCACGGCTGGGCCTTACAGCAGAAAAAAAAAAAAAAAAAAAAAACCCCAC